CTGTAGCGTTGCATGGGGTTGTTGTGACCAAAGTGCAGGACCCGGCACTTGGCCTTGTTGAACCTCATACAGTTGGCCTCAGCCCATCGACCCAGCCTGTACAGGTGCCTCTGTAGAGCCTTCCTACCCTCAGGCAGATCAACACTCCCGCCCAACTTCGTGTAGTGTGCAAACTTCCTGAGGGTGCACTCAACCTCCTCATCCAGATCATTGATAAAGATATTAAACAGAACTGGGCTCAAAACAGCCCTGGGGGACACCACTTCTGACCAGCCTGAGAAGAGTACACCTGTCTAAGCCATGAGCCGCCACCTTCTCTAGGAGAATGCTGTGAGGGACAGTGTCAAAGGCCTTGCTGAAGTCCAGGTAGACAACATCCACAGCCTTTCCCTCATCCACCAGGTGGGTCACCTGGTCATAGAAGGAAATCAGGTTGGTTAGGCAAGACCTGCCTTTCATGCACCCATGCTGGCTGAGCCTGATCCCCTGATTGTCCTGCATATGCCTGGTGAGCACACTCAAGATGAACCTCTCCATAATCTTCCCCGGTACCGAGGTTAGGCTGACAGGCCTGTAGTTCCCTGGATCCTCCTTCCGGCCCTTCTTGAAGATAGACATCACATCTGCCAGCCTCCAGTCATCTGGGACCTCCCCTGTTATCCAGGACTGCTGATAAATGATAGAGTGGCTTGGTAAGCTCCTCTGCCAGCTCCTTCAGCACTCTCGGGTGGATCCCATCTGGCCCCATAGACTTGTGGATGTCCAGGTGGCATAGCAGGTTGAAAACTGCTTCCTCCTGGATAATGTGTGGTTTATTCCACTCACCATCCCTGTCTTCCAGCTCAGGGAGCTGAGTACCCTGGGGATAACTCATTGGGCTATTAGAGACTGAAGCAAAGAAGACATTAGGTATCTCAGCCTTTTCCTTATCCTTGGTGGCAATGTTCCCCCTTGCATCCAATAGAGGATGGAGGTTCTCCCTGGTTCTTTTAATGTATTTGTAAAAAATTTTATTATCTCTTACAACAGTGGCCAGGTTGAGTTCTAGCTGGGCTTTTGTCTTTCTAATTTCCTCTCTACATGATCTAATGATACCCCTGTACTCTTCTTGGGTTGCCTACCCCTTATTCCAGAGCTGGTAAACTCTCCTTTTCTTCCTGAGTCCTGGCAAAAGCTCCCTGTTCAGCCAGGCCTGTCATCTTCCCCGCCGATCTGTTATGGCACATGCCGTAATCCAAGTAGTGTTGTCTGGAAAACAGGTACTAGATTTCATAAGTGATTGAAGAAATGCTGCCCTGAAATGATAACTGGATGCAGAATCTGTTGTCATCTCTCTCTCTTACTCGCTTTTGTGCATTTTCCCAGTCTGTAAATGGTGGCGATAATCTTCCTCTGTTAATATATGCTTGGAGATTCAGAGATAAAAATACTATCTAGATACTACTGGTTATCACCCAAGTCCCTCATCTTATTTCAGAGTATGTTTAAAAAGAATTGAAAGCTCAGAAAACTACTCCATCTTTGATTTAAACAATTTTATGGGGAGAAAGGGAACCTCATTATACAACACGCTCATATAGCTGCCAATATGACTCATAATTGATGCTGCTATGCTAAATACAACGATCCTAACTTTTTTTCATGTGTTTGCCATAAAACAGATAAAAAAAGAGATGCAGAAATCTCACAGCTGTTCCAGTTTACCAATGCCAGTTTATACAGATGACTGCCAACCAGAGGCAGGAACTTTGAAAGGGTTTCAGCCGCTTACATTGGCTGTGTAGAGTTCGTCTGTTAATCTCAATCTAGGTAGGATTTTAAGATTTCTACATCATTTCATCTGGGAAAAACAAATACCACTAGAGAAATTTTATGCTAGAAACATCTTTTTATAATTTTTCTGGGTTGGGATATAAAATTGATCACATACTTCATGAAAAATAGGTCTTGTTAAATGTGGTGTACTAGGGATTACTTCACAGAGTTAAGAGTTTCTCTAAAATGTTTTCCTTTAAAAAAAAAATAATTATACCAGGGCATATACAAAAAAGAGAGCAGCTGTGCAATAAACCTGAATAGTAGAACTATGGAAAGGGGGTGAAAGCAATTTCCAGCACTTGGGAAGAACTGTGGGTTTGTCAGAGTTTAGAACAAAGTCTATTGTCTGTGAGAAGCTACAAAGCTAACATTTTCCAGTTTGTCTGTATTTGGAAGTTAGTTCCAGTTAAACCGAGGTGTGAATCTGAAGTGCATTAGATATTTCAAAAATCCTACTTCCAGATGCAGTTTTATTCCAAAATAAAAGGTGCTGAAATAACTGTAGATGTAGGCTGTTGCTTTCAGATTTCATGTTAGCCGCCTACTTTGGCGAGAAACAGTTCACAATGTCAGAACTGAGGTTTTGGCCACACGCAGAACTTGGCAAGCATCTGGGCGTGAATTTATACATTGAGTAAAATTCCTGACTGACTGTGAGAGGCAGAAAAATATCCTGACCCTGAGCGCATGTCTGGGCAAAAACTGAGAAAGTAAAAGCATGATCAGCGGTCGGTCTGAACAGGCAGGCTACTGTCAGCCATAGGAGACGGCTGACTCTTGAAGATTATTCCTCTTGATTAATGCCCAAGAGAAGGAATATTCGTGTTACAAAAGACACATTTGTTTCCTGTGTTCTGCATCACATTCCAAAACACTGGAATTTTGGTTGTACAAGGCAAATGGTGTTCAGTTACTGAGTATGGAAACAAGCAAAAGTTATACAAATATACTGGCTTTTAGTGGAAGTCTAGTACTGCTTGTGAAAGAACATTCAGAAGAAAAACACTTTATTTTTATTTGGATCATTTAATCAGATTGATACATGTCTATTTTAATCGCTCTTATACACTGAAAGCTTAAGTTAAACATAAATTCATCATCTTAAATAAATAAA